CTAGGAAGGGAGGTTCAATAAAAACGAGATAACATGACCAATTAAGATTCCATCTAGAGACAGCATATAAAAGCAAATTTATCTGACATTTATCTCATATATGTAATTGTTTAAATCGAGAACAAAGAATCTCTCATGAAACCTTACATCTCTTCCAAAAAAATCTCTCTATGATGCCTATTGACAGTTTCATGGAACGGTAGGACACCTTTTCTTCTTTTAGTTTTGATCAAATGTCTAGGATCTAAAATTGAGGGCAATCCTATCATCATCCCTAAATCTGATTCCAGATCTTTGGAAAAACTACCTAAATTAATTACCAAGCAAGCTAATAGGGAACTTTTTAATCGACATAAAGTTCCAATGAAAAATGTCAATAAATCAAAAGTAAGGTACTTGATGCAGGACAAGAAAGAAGGAGATGATAAGCATAATAAGGAAATAAGAAACAAAAGAGTATGAGATGAGAAAGAAAGAAGAGGATGGAAAAAAAATTTGAAGAGTTGAGAAAAGAAGAATGAGGAGGGAGATCTCTGAAAACTTTGCAAAAAATTTCAGATGGTACTCTATTGCTGTCAACAAACATCATTGGGAGTTGAGGACCTTCACATAAATCAATGATTTTAATTAAATGATTCACAACCAACACAAAAAGTTGGGGAATTAGCCTAATGTGAGTCTTGTGTGATTGGAAAATCACTTGCCTCTCCCTCTAGTCATTTTCATATTATTTATTGCATAATAACTTTAATTAGAACACAAATATGGAATGTATCAAACCACTACTGAAACGACCCACTCTACTACGTGGTATGATATTATCCGCTTTGGGCCCAAGTCCGCACGGTTTTGTTTTTAGGTTTTACCCCAAAAGGCCTCATACCATACTAGGTACAGTGCACCAATCGTACATATATAGCACTTTCCCTTTCCACACCCAGGCGATGTGGGATCGATTGTGTACCCCGTAGCCTGCCAACTTCTCGCACCCACCCACAAGGGGCTTAACGTCCTCATTGGCCACACTTCCGGCTGGGTCAGGATTTGATATCATTTGTAACGACCCACTCCACCACATGGTATGATATTGTCCGTTTTGGGCCCGAACCCGCACGATTTTGTTCTTGAGTTTTGCCCCCAAAAGGCCTCAAAGAGTGTACCAATCCTACATGTATAGCACTTTCCCCTTCCACACCCAGACGATGTGAGATTGTGCACCCGTAGCCTCGCACCCACCCACGAGGTGGCCACAACCACTAAGGCTTTTCTTCATGAAAATTTGTAGAGTCTAAGGAAAAAAAGGGATGACAAGTGAAAATCAAACTGAGCTGATTTTGTAACATCTAGAGATTTTCTGGTTAGGAAAATATTAAGGATGTCTCCGATCTTTCCATCCTAGCACCTTGTGTAGGCAGGACCACTACTAAGTAATTTCTTTTTCTTTTCTTTTCTTTTTTTTCTTTTTTAGTAATTTTTTTCTCAAGAAAATGTTATATATCCAAGTGGATCAAATAACTTTTAAGTCAACTTACCCGTAGGAGAAAAAGGGATGACAAGCGAAAATCAAACTGAGCTGATTTTGTAACATCTAGAGATTTTCTGGTTAGGAAAATATTAAGGATGTCTCCGATCTTTCCATCCTAGCACCTTGTGTAGGCAGGACCACTACTAAGTAATTTCTTTTTCTTTTCTTTTCTTTTTTTTTTTTTCTTTTTTAGTAATTTTTTTCTCAAGAAAATGTCATATATCCAAGTGGATCAAATAACTTTTAAGTCAACTTACCCGTAGATCTCCCCTCCGTGGAAGTAACAGCTACATGTTCAAAGAATTCTTTGCTAGCATCTGCATAATCAAATAAAAAACATGACAAGGAAGAAACACGAATCAACCTTTCATTTAGACAGAGTTCTAATATTGCAAGAGCTAGGTGATAACAGTTGCATGTCAAACATGCATGCTTTTGGTAGACCAAATCCATACGGGTTCACCAAGAATGCTTCTTTGCCAACAGTTGACATATTATCGTAAAACATAATTAGACATATGCCATCATTTTACTTAGGGTTTCAATACCGTGATGAAGAGCTAATTAGAATTTAAAAATAGCTAGCAAATCCTTTATTTTTATTGTTCAGCCATATTTTAATATAGCCAATGTAATCCTTAGATAAAGGATCCATTCATGTCTCTTTGGCATTACTCCCACCGCTTCTAGCTGATCGACTCTCTAGATTTAGAAAATAACGTATTTGTCCCAAAGAAGTGAAAAGGCATGGGCTTTTAATTATTCATGATAATATAGCCATCATCCAAAAAGAAGTGCCTTTTCCCCACTGCACGAACATAGTCTCCTACTTTTCAACCTAAGGGAACAAGGAATCACAACTCTAAAGAGGGATGGGATCATTATGTATATACGCATACCATGCTTCATTGTTAGAGATGGATCTTGCTCATTTACATATCCAATCACCTTTGCTGGTATCCCTGCCACCATGCTTCAAATAATAAAAGGTAAAATAAAAATATTATCAATATGAAAACTAATTTCTTACTGATCTCAGATAGCAAAAGCATTTTTCATTGATAAGCTGAATACATCATGTTCTACCTGTGTGGAGGAATATTCTTTAACACAAGGGAACCAGCAGCTATCATTGCTCCTTCACCTATTTTTATATTCCCAAGTATAGTAGCACTAGCTCCAATCAATGCACCTTGACCTACTTTTGGATGACGATCACCAATTTCTTTTCCAGTTCCCCTTAAAGTTACACCCTGCCAAACATTTTTGTGATGATCAAAATTATTCTAAAAGAGAATCATCTTATAGATATTCAATCTGTTATCTGACATTACCGAATTGCAATATTATAAAACATGTTAACTTTCAGGAAAAAAAATATCAGAAAACATGTTCAATGAAGATATGATATAATTTCAATTTCAATTTGAGGTTATAGTTTATACATACATTTACACAAATTCATGTTTTCAATTGAAAGGAAGGACATGGAGTTAAACAAATGCACCGTTTGGAGAAAAACAAGAAGAATTGAGAGAGAGAGAGAGGTAAATCAACAAAAAGAATACGAAGATGATACAAGTACAAAACAAGGTCCATAACAGCACGTCAATGACCCGAGTCAAATTCACAAATCCTGTTTTACCACTGCTCTACCTAGGACAATGTTTATGACCTAGCACAAAATTGCAAACTTGAAAAACCTTCACCCATGCTTAAATGTGAAAATCTCCACAATTATAGCTTCATCAAACAATGATCTGGTTTTCATCTAAATGGTCCAGTTATCAACTCTGTGCAAATGCACATGATATTCATCTTTAAGACTCTTGTTAAAGAAATAGTTGAATGTAATTGTTTTTTTCTTGTCTTCCAGGTTTAAAAATGCATTTTAATGAATATGAATACATTAAGTGAATGATTTTATATCAATTTACCAATCTGTCAATCATCCATCAAATAATGGCAAAATAAAGGAAGATTTGGCTTACCTGCATTAGAGAAACTCTATTTCCTATAACAGCTGTTTCACCAATAACTACACCTGTCCCATGATCTAATAGTATTCCCTCTCCAATTCTTGCAGCTGCATTAAAACAACAAATATGTTAAAAATATAGAGTAAATAAATAAAATCAAGAATGATATATTGGCTAGAAGATTTTCAATATTTTACATGATACAAAAACTTAAATAGAGGGAAAACAAAAAAAAAAAAACAAAGTTTTAGTCTATGGTAGCATTATTGTACGCGGACACGCGGACACAAGTCCTAAATATTTTGAAAGTATGCCCAAATACCTTTTCCATTTCTTTGTACTGACTTCATCAACATAGTTCTGTTTAAAATCACAAAAATATGTCATCTAAAAAATTTAAAAGTTTGTTTGAGCTGTTTCTAACATAAGTTTCCACCATGTTGACAATCTTTAATATGAAAAGAATGGCATTTTATTTCTAACAAATCTCAATGACAGGATTACAAACCCAAAGAGTATGAAGAAGAAAGGAAGTGTAATATACCCGGATGTATGTCAACTCCAAAAACCTAGATAATTCAAAGGTAGCTGCATTAGATGAAGTAATTGAGAAGGCACCAGTCACCGAGTTGCACTAATGTATATCGAATATTATAAAGGTCAAAAACTACCTCACTAATTCGACTTTGTAGTGCCAAGGCCAACACTTTGCGTCCTTGGTTCCACAAAGCATGTGCTATGCGATATGTTTGAATAGAATGGTAACCCTACAAAAGCCATTAATCCGTTACTACTAGATGCCTTCAATGTTTCAAGTCTAAATAAACAAAAACAAAAGAACTTTGCTAGTCTTAAGGGTAAATCAAACAACCACCACCAATTAACATATACCTTATGAAAGTATGAACAAGAAGAAATATCGTTCTTCATTTTTTTTGTAAAAATAAAAAATAAAAATAAAAATAAAAAAAGAAGAAGAAAGAAAAGAAAAGAAAAGAATAACGTTCTATGCAAATGAATGCTGAAACTGTATGAATTAAATATTTGTGTATTTGTTGTGTTTAGAGAGAGAAAATGACTGGTTAACCAATTTTGACATTGGAACACTGCCATTAACACAACCAATAAAATGACACAAACAAATAAGTAATCAAAGAGGATTCTACATTACATTTCAAAAAGTTATTTATAAGGAAAAAAATTAATTACAATAAAGAACAAGTACCTTAAGGTATAAAAGAGCCGAGCAATATGACAAGCAAGAAGGATCCCTGTCTTAAAATGCCTGTGAAAGAAGATTTTTAACCATTAAAATCATTTTCCTAAAATAAAAAATAATAGACTACCATGAATGCAGCCAACAAAATTACCTGTACATCCAGGCGAATTGAACGTTGAATCCCTAGATCATGCATCATTACATCACAGAATATATCCATTAATTGTGTTGCCAAGAGTGTCAGATTTTGGAGTCGATTGAGATACCATATAAGAAGAAGCAACGGATATTAAGACAGACAGATATCTGATTAAGAATACAGAAAGCAAAGATGGTGCTTGGCAGTTGAGCACCATCAGTCTATGGTTCAGCGTCGTGTGCTGCTGGCTACTGACCATGGGAAACGGGGCAGTGGCCTCAGGTCTGCCGAACATAATAAAACTACCAGACAGAACTATCAATTTTATTGTTGACTATCTGGAGAGTTAAACGGCGGCTTTGGTGAGGTGAATTGAGTTTATTATAACACCATTATGTCTGCCTTAGCGGATCCTTTTCTCTACAACAGAGGGTAGTTATGAGGGGTCATTCTCATCTAAAGGCCCATCCCTTGGGAATTGTTCAAACTGAATGTAGGCCAATCCCGTCATTTAATTTCCAGGGCTCATATATAGCCTAGAGTGCACCCATTTTTACAGCTTGATCCCAAGTCTCAATCTCCAAACAACGCTAAATAACCATTCACTAATCCTCAAACTTTTGTGGACCCCTTAAAGTCTGGACTGAAGTAAAACCATACAGCAGAAACAATTAAAGAAATAGTTTTGGTGAAAGATTACAAACAACTTACTACTATACATAACAAAGTGCTTGGTGTGGAAGACCAAAAGACCATAGAGATAAGGAAAGACACAAGAAAATATAGTATAACAAATAAGGATAATAAACATGAAATACTTCAAATAGTCGTCATTAATGAGAATCTAACAGATCAAATCATTCTGATACAAATTAAGATATACAGAAAACATGATAATTGATACTCAAAATAGTGCACACAATTTCCATCCTACATTTTCTTACGTTGACTATAGCCAGATACAATGAACTACTTCTCAGTCAGCCATGGGTATACTAACAATGAAACTAGATATGGAAAAATAATGCTTTCAGCAATATACAATAAAAGTAACCTAGGAAAGGTGATGTCTGAGTGTCAACTGCAAGCATCCCAGTCTACAACCTATCAAAATGCTTATTCCGCATCTATGAAAGCAACACTAAGGTCCGTCTGCCCATATGCTTTAATCTATGCAATTTTCTGGCCTGATGCCTGAGAGATTGAGCTCGTTAGTTAAAAATGGGGGCACAATCATACTTCTGGCTTTTCAGTAACCATCATATCACCTAGTTCTGACTCCAGATGCAGAGGATGTAGTAAAATATCTTTTGAAAATCAGGATATATAAGCTAACTTTCAAATCAAGGAAAAACAAATGCTTAGCCAAAATAAAAAGACGATTAAAACCCTGTAATAGTCATTAGAGGGAAAGATTGATATTCAATGTGTTTCCTCCATTTTTGAGTTGAAGAGAGCAGGGAACTGAAGATGATCTAATACCTCCTCTTTTGCAGCCACTAGTTCAGCATCTCGTGTACTTAGCAGCTGAGTTTGCACAGATAATTCTAATTCCAGCTGACCTGCGCAATAAAAAAATGAATGAAGGCTCAATCAACACGTACGAGCCATCAATTAAAAGTTCAGTGAGGGATGGAAAAATACTTCTCATTTTAGCTGCTTCAATTTCAGTACGCATGCAGTTACTCTCAGCAACCTCCAGCTTCGTTTTCAGTGCCTGTGAGTTAACTTCCCAAATCTCCCTTTCTTTCTCCTGAATGAATTTACAAACTTTATGGAAATAATATTCAAAAATTATATAAAACTAGCTAAAGAAATAGGCAATTGTAAGGTAATAAACAATGTGAGGCTACATCATTTAAACCTAAAATTGTCAAAAATATGAAATGCATACACATACCATCAAACATGTGTTCCAAAAGGCACAACCTAAGCATGCCAAAATGCATCTTTAGAGGAGGATAAAACACCCCTTTCTTTGAAGGGAAGATCTCGTCTACTTACAAAAGAATATGCTTCCTAAATCAGTCTAGTACACAGAAGTGCCAGCATTAAAGCCCTAAAGTTCAGTCATAATCTAATAAACAAGGTAGTAACTAGTGAGGGCGCACTAATTCTAGTTTCCAGTCTAAGAGAAAAAATTGGCAACGACCTCCAAGAAATTTTTACAAATAGCATCGAATGGAAAGTATTACTTTTCATTTGACTAATATTCAGATAGATCTGAATGAAACCATTTTGGAAATAGTCCATATTGGATTTAAAAAAATTGGAAAATGGAAGTAAAGAACTTACATTCATGGTAAATTTAACTAAACAATGGACACATTCTTATTTAGCAAACAGGTAACCCCTTTTACCCAAAAGAAACTTCAAAAAAGCCAACTCTTGTCTCCATAACAACTGTGTTATCCGGACTCGGGTACGGGTGTGGGACACGGGTGTGTGTCTAGAGGTCGGATTCGTCAATTCATCAAATATAGAGACACGGGGACTCGGCTAAAAAGTGTCCAATATCTAGACACGGGTACTTGGACACTTCTATAAATGAAAATAGTATAAATTTTTAATGTACGAGCATCAATTTTCTAATAAATATAAATATATATTTTTTTTTTCGGAAGGTGAATAAAAAATAAATATTGACCAGCTTTCATGCCATAACTAATGAGTATTGTATTTTTACCTCTTTTTTATATTTTTTTAAAATTTGTTTAAGAAAAGTAACCGCCATAACTAATGAGTATTGTATTTTTGTAAGTAAAAATATACTATTACTTTTTATTAGTTAGAGCAGTAATTAATTAGCTTACAGCTGTAACCCATTACATACAGCTGTATCCCATTAACTAAAAGGTTATGTCTAACCAACGGGCCAGTGGCCTAGCGGTATCAGAATCCTTACTTCCCAAAGGAAGGTCAGGGTTTCAAGCCTCAATGGAGGCATGTGTGTGTGAATACCAACTAAGAAAAATATAAATAAATAAATAAAAGGTTATGTCTGTCATGGACAAGTGGCGTCCTATTTGCCATAAAAAAAGAAAAAGCATTAAGAGATAGCTTCATCTTAGCCGTAAAATTAAAAATGTATCACGGGAAAGATCTGAAGCACGCTTGCCAAGACACATCTTCAACCTTTGAAGAACCAACACCATCGTCAATGGCAGCCAACCCCTTTCGTTTTTTGAACCAGCTTTCTAGCACCACCATCAATGGCAGCCGTGTCCAGTAGACAAATGAGGAGTCCGACTCGTATCCAGTGTCCGTGTCGTGTCATCACACCCTCGCCGGTTCAGGCGAGTCCAGGTAACATAGCATAACAGAGTTGCAGAGATTTCACATATGATTGTCCCTCTAAATAAACAAGGTTAAGACAAGTTCAAAATCAATTTATCTGAGCTGTGTCATCATACTGGTATGTAACTGAGTACCACCGTGACAAATTAAAATCAACAACACTAATCAGTTATACATAGCTTATAAGAAATCAGGGGAAAAAGAAAATTGGGGAAGTAAGAACATTAACATACATGCTCGTGTTTCATGTGATTCAGCTCTCCTTTTACCGTTTCCACTGCAGCTTTAAGTCGTGCTGCTTCGCCACTTGAAGCTGCATCCATCTCCGCAATCTTAGACTCTTTCTCAGCAATCATCCCCTGAAAAACATATATTAACACTTACGTTCAACTCACCATCTCGAACAAGTGTCAGCTACAAAACTATATCACTGACATAAAAACATGTAATGCAGACCAAAGGATATACAACATAACTTGTTGAGCAAGAAGTTCATGGACACAAGAAACACGGTAAATTATGCTGCTGCTCCTGAAATGCATCATGTAAAAAAAGAGCCTTAAATAGTCTGTTCTTACCTGCAGAGAGGAAATCGTTTCGGTTGCTTTGCTTCTATCTGTTAATGCATCAGCAAGTTGGGATTCCAAACTCTCTATTTGCTGAGTAAGAAATAAGAGAGTAAAAAAAATCTAAGGCACAATTCATTCACAAAACATACAGCAAGAAATAGCAGAACTTCTTACATAATGCATCTGCATGCATTATTACCTTCTGGTGTTTGGCAGAGACCTCAGATATTGAGGCTTGCTTTTTTTCTTCTGCTGCTTGAAGGAAACCTCGCATGTCTTCTAGCATCTGTCGATATGCAAGTTAACATACAGATATGGAACTGTACATATATAATTTTTGGAATAAAAATAATAATTAAAAAAAAAAAAAAAAAAGTAGCAGTACTTTTGTCTCACTAGTCACTCCAATACATTGATCAAAGTTCAGGCTCACACAAACATAAACTGACTTTATCAAGTTTCAACATCACTTTTTCCTGCATCCCAAATGGTTGGGAGAAGGTCTTTTTGAGTTGAGTACCACCTTTTTCCAGCATCAAAAATAAAAAATAAAAAATAAAAAATGATTGTAATGAAGATTTGTCAAAACAGTTAGATTTTGCATACAATATACAGACAAATTCACTCCTAATAACATTTGATTGGCAACCCATGGACTCTTCCAGTAATGTACTAATGTCTTATCAGACTAATTGTTCCAAAATAATATCCCCAAGTACGATTAACATTAATAAGATGGTTCAAAAGTTTAAATGATGAACCACAAATAATGGAGTTCTTCCAAATGTCTAGAACATTAACATCTACACACTGCAAGGGAAGAATGAGTTTAACAAGAGCATCTAATAAATTATTGGATTTCTTAGCATGACATAAAAAATCAACAGTGTTAGGCAAACAACTGAACAATGATGAAAGTTACACTCGAAGTTAGGTAATTCAATTACTAAACCAGTAGATTATACGTGAAACCAAGAATACTCCAGTTTATTGACCAATGAGGTGAGCACCCACATGAATAAAAGAACATCGCATATCCTACTATATAGAAGCAGTTCAGAAACTTCGTTTTTATTTTCAGCTTTTAGCAGTTTGTCGTCTTACTAGAATAAAAGTTCTTGACATATAGATGCAAACAAAAACTGACATGTTTCTCCAGTATGCATTCCTGCATAACACATGCAAAAGGATCTCTCAACATTGCATAAGCAGTGCTTGGAAAACAAGATGATTAGGTTCTCCTTAATAATCCCAAGGGATAATCAGGAATTATAGTTTTTGTCAGGTAGATTGGAAGAGCAAACCGAGCTTTTGGAATTATTTATTTATTTTTTATAAGTAAAGATTTCATAGAAAAGAACTCGAAAGGGGAGCGCAACCCAGAGAATTTATACCTGCTCTTTCTCTAAAAGTGACTGCTGCAATGCCTCGAGAGCATTCTCTTTGGGTTCCAAAGATCGCCGTAATTCTTCAATGTTGTCTCGAAGCCTGGATATCAGTTAATTTAACAATAATTAAGAAAAAAGACCTATAATACTATAAATCAAGAAACAACGGATGGAAATTGTCAAATTCTAGAAAGAAAAAAAAAATAATTGACTGACCTATCAGCATGTAGCAAGATGTTGATGAATGATGACTTGTGATATTCAACAGATAATGCATTATTTTTTGTTTCCTCAACATATTTAGTATGAAATCTACCCATTAATTTCTTATAAAGGGACACTTGAAAATATTCATACAATGCAAAATTTGATTCTTTATTGCACTTGAAAAGGATATTCTTAACAAAAGATATTTTATAAGAACACAAGACAAAACAAACCCAAACACATGCACACAGAGTTAAATCCAGTGTATTATGTTTTATTTTTACAAGAGAAAATACTATAGAAAGGTTGGTAGGGTTTGTTGGTATGCAAATCAACATGAACTGGTGTTATTCAAAAAATTGGGTTCCATAAATAATATAATAAAAAAGAACTGAATGATGAATACAGTTTCTCCATCCCTGTACAAAATAAATATGCAGTTATTTGGTATTGTACGTACTTGTTGTTTGCAATCCGTAATTGCTGCCTCTCCATATCTGTTGCTTTAATGGCTTCATTTGCTTGTTGCCGTGTGCGCTCCAGCTCTTGCTTCAATGCTGACAGTTGGGATGATGCTTGGCTGGCTTTTTCACTCACGTCACGAAACTGAGCCGCAAGATCATCTTTTTCCTGGAATTGACAACCTCCAAACAACAATTTGATCTTAAAGAAAAAACAGATAAACAAGCAAACAGAAGCATTTTTCTTAATCTTTAACAAATTAATGCAGATTCAATAAAAAGCAAAACTGATCTTATTAGACAAATATAATTTCCTCAAACATCAGAACTGATGTGAACTTAGAGAAAACAGAATGGAACACACTCCAAACTTGAATACATCCACAAATAATGGTACGTTAACACTCAAATTCATGAAATAATAAATAACTCCCCTTTCGCACCCAAAATTCTTTTTGCTCTAAAAGCTTACTAACACAATAAAAATTTTCTAGTGATAGAAGCATTCTTTGACTCTAAATATGCATTTGAAATGTCTTCATTTAGTAAGAGGGGTTAATTGACATTTATAGTATAATACCCACAAGAAGAGAGAATATAACTATATAGATCACATGAAGAATACGAAAATTAGTTATTATACCACCAAGATTATTAATAGAAACAGATTGTAAGCTGACATTACGTAAGAGTGGAATTTTTTTATGCATCAATCAACGCAACTGGAAAGCAGCACAATGTTTAATGAGTTCAATTTGGCCTTAATTTTGTCCATGCCATAATCACACTGGATTCAAGTCCTTTTTTTTTTTTTGTGTTTAAAGTCCAATCCTTTTCACTCACTGGTCATGCATGTGAATACATTGTTGACATAAAATAATCTAGTTCACAACTTGAACTGATTCAGAATAACTTTAAGTTAGAAAATTGAGATTACACCAGGCCCCACAGCATACACAAACCTACTCATGTCATTTAACCATGTTAAACACAATGCTGAATGACCAAATTCAACTCAACTAAACCTTGTCAGAACTATTTCTCCATGGCATTGGAGAAAAACCTTGCATTGTGTCTCTTCTTACTGCCTTAACCAATTTACTTGTGTCCTTTATGGTCTTTCCTTGCCCTCAGTTTGCACAATGTCCAGTGCAGTAACTTCTCTTCATAAGACGTGGAGAAACAACATTAACTAGTCTTCTCTTTCCACTCATTAGTTGTGCATGTCAATGCATAATCACATCAACAGACCCAGTTAACGACACAAACCAGTTGATAATCACTGTAAACAAGGGGTCAAAAAATTGAAATGACAAAAGGTACATAGCTTGACAGGCCACATACATCATAGATGGACCTAGACATCAGTTAGCCATGTCAGCTCAAATGATCCATGACCAATTCAACACAAGTAAACCTTTTCTCAACTACCTCACATTTCACCATTCCACTTTATCCAAGGCCATAGTTTAGACTAAACTATGTGCACTATGCCTTTGCTTACTACCTCAACTAATTAACCCATCTCCTTTTGGTCTTCTGCTCATCCTAGCAACCTCCTCTATTTGGACATAGGGCTACAAATGAACTGGGCCGAGACGAGCTTCAGTCTGTCCTGGCTTAGATTGTTCGTTTATGGGTTCAGTAACTTCAGTTCGAGATCATGACTAGCTCAAATAGCTGAGCTCGGGCTCGGTGTCATTGTTTTGAAAAGCTCGTGCTTGGTTCGTTTAATTATAATTTTCAAAAAACAAAAAAAAAACCTTGATATTACATTCGTGTTCAGGTTTTGTTTGAGCTCGTGTTCAAGATCGCTTTAACTCGTTCATGAGCTTATACAAGCTTACACAAGTCTATGCTATCTCATGAGCTTATACAAGACTACACAAGCCTATATTCATGAATGCGGTGATGACTGATGACCACATATGAGACCGCACAAGCTTGGTGTTCATGAGCTCACACGAGTCGAGCGTAACAATGTTTTGGATCAGCTCACTTACTAAACCAGCTCAAAAATTGAATTCAAGCCCGGCTTGTTTATTCAATGAACAAGCTTGATCCAAACTTTAAACGAGCCGATCCCAAGATGTTCATACAGAGTTCTGTTCATTTGCTCGATCCCAAGCCCTATTTAGACAGTGTCAGTCCTCTTGACGAGTACAATTACCATTCTTCACTGAACATGCGCACACAAAATGATACAATTTTCTCTTTCTCATTTTGGTCCAGAGGCACATTGTTACTTCAAATATTTGTTTTTTTTTTACACAAAACAGACATGACATATCATGTACCACTTAATAATATTACACAATTGAACTTTTTCATGATTGGGCATTAGCATGTTAAGCATATGTCACCCTATGATGATCATCATACCGACCATTAAATGATAACATCAAGTCATCAATACTACCTAATTCTATATACTTTCCCCTGATAATGGTCACCATCATTCCGTAGAGAAATCAAAACAACCAGGACAGTAATATGTTCCACTTAACCTACAATGTCAATCAGGAATAGGGTTTTTAACTTCTTCCCAAGATGAAAAGGACTGCCCATAACTCTGTTAACAACTATTACCTTCCACTTGAAATGTCTTCTTTGCTCAAACAGATCTGTGACAATCTCTCATAAATCCTTGTGATTATGGATAAGAGCGTGATGATTTTAAGACCAACTTACGTAAAATCTATAGTTTACTAGGATTTATTAAATGTGTATCATTTCATTCTAAACCAAAGAGTGTGTTACAACTGGGAACATACGGAACAGTATCACAAAGTGACAAACATCAGACGAAACGAACCCAGAGATAGAATTTACCTTCTGAGTCTCTTGAATACGCTGTTTAGCTCGTTTGTGAAGCCTATTGAACTTGGAGTCAAGTTCAGAGTACTTCTCATCACGCTCTTTTATTTCTTCACCCATCTTCTGTTGAGCTACACATATAAACCACAAAATGCATTTAAACTAAGAAACTTAAACAAAATGTTAGAAAAGATAAAACAAAATGTTAGAAAAGATAATCTCATAAAACTGTTTAATTTAAGGATATACATCTAATATCCTATGGGAGTACGACTATCAGCAAGTAGTCAGAATTCAAAGCATGAGGTCGAATCTAATCATAATTGGAAAGAGATCTAAAATCAAAGAGATCTTTTGCCAAACTTTCTGTTTGGCCCACTGATATCATACCTCCCTCAACAAATATTCAAAAACATCATCAAATTTACATAAGTTGAAATATAAACAGTAATTGAATACAATTCGACCTTCAGAAAGCTTGGCAGAAAGCTCTTGGGCTTTTGCATCTGCCTCGATGTATACAACTTGAAGATGCTTCATGGCCTCCTCCGCGGCACCTCGGGTTTGTTTTTCTTCCAAAAGCTCTCTACTTAAAGATTCTATCTTTTCACGGAGCTCTTTCACATCTTCACATCCCCCTCCTTCTCTCTCTGTTGCTCCTGTTTGTTGGTCAGACCCACCAGATTCTGAGCGAAGCTCTTTAAGGAACTCAAACTGAGACTTCAAATACTCATTCTGGAAATTGAGTTCTACGATATTTTGAACAAGTTGATCATGAGTCTCACTAGTATAAGGGTCGCCATCATAAAGCCCATTCTCCTTAACTACACTTCCAAAACTCTCGTGGTTCAAGCGAATGAACTGTTTCTCAGGTTTTACAGCATCTTCCACATTATTTTCTAGCATCACGCTACTATCCCCTCCCTCTGTCGACATTATTGCACTCCTTGGGATCACCGTGATCTTTTATGTAAGCAACCACCCTGATTTTCTCATCAACAAGAACCTATAATATCATTCAAAAATAAAGAAGTTGTTACTATGACGAAGCATTGCAAACCCAAAAGACCAGTATGAACTATAATATTAACATAAGAGCCCTCACTAGGAGTTGAGATATTTCATTCACGACTTAACAAAAACTGGAAGTGAGTAACATCTTAAAAGTTACAACATCACCGATTTGGCAACACAACATTTGGTTGCTGGGAAAACTGAGAAAATGAAAAAAAATAATAATAATAATGACTCGATTTATTCAAATAGAAAATGGGCCTAGCTGAATGGTGGATTCTTTATAATATACATATACATATGTAGGTGTACAGGGAGGGATCTACTTACACCTAGTGTAAAGTTTCTTATTCTGACATCTTGTAGAACTTGCATTTTACAAAACATATTGTTGGGTTGGCTCTTCTTTCGATCAATAGACTCCCAATTCATACACTCAGATATCATGACAGACATTTGAGGAGTGAAATTTGAAAAGTATTGAGGCCCACAAAAAGTTATAGACAGTTGTAAGAATAAAAGTCTTACGCCGCCGCGGAATGTTGAAAGGGATATGCTGAATAAAAACCTAACCTTTTTCATCATTTGCAAAAATTGGCTGCCCACAGAATGAAAAAGGAAACAATATATAAATAAATTTTCTTATCGTTTCTTACATTTTCTTAACAAAGTGGATATAAGTTTATCAGCAGTCTTATCATTTTCTGGGTGTTAAAATTCTTGACCATGAACCCCACAAAATAACTAAAATAAACTTTGTGGCATAATCATTCGATTCGCTGATGATGATAGACCCATAAAATTACTAAAATGAACTTAGTGACATTTTAATGAGCTGCAAATTATATGTTCCCTATTGAATGCATGATTTGAACGATGAATCAAAATCACTCTAATTGTAAAATTAGAATTCAAAGATGAGACTAATAAACAGTTACTGAATCAATAAGATCCAAGCTTAATTAATGGCAATGTGATCGTTCCCATTGAAACTGTTTCTTCAATTACGCATACAACTTAGCAGACTTGCGATATATGCACACAAAATGGCTTCCAAAATGACTAACCTTCGTGTCGAGCAGTTGCTAAATAAGGGAGTCTCGAGATTAATTGGGCTCCTCCTGCAGATCTATCGACTCCAGTAATAATTTGAGTTATGAATGGATGGATCGAAACCGAGCCCTAAGTTAACAATCTGATCAATAATTTAGTATTGTATTATTATATATAATCATACATATATATATATATAGAGTGTGGGTGTGTAGGACTGCGTGTGAAAGAGAAAATTTGAGAGAGAGAGAAAGGGCGTGAGATCGCAGGTGTCTTGGTGGATCCACCTCTGATCTCACGCTTCTCATGTACAAGAAGAGTGCCCAATATACATGCTTGCCATCTGCCTTGTAATTTGGTTTAGCAGAACTGAAATAAGCAGAATTAGGAATATCTTTCTTACGCAAGCAAGCCTAGGCTTTGTTTTAATTCCTTCGTTTTTAGGAGTGTAAAGAGAATTAGAATTGGATTAGGAAAGAGTTAGAATTGAACTAAATAAATCCCGAGTAGAATAGGATTATTATTTTAATTGGTAACTTATTTAGTTGACCCTCTTGTTATATATGTATATATAGTCAGAAAGAAGAGCGCTCATCAAGCCAACTTTTCCCCTTCCTGCATGAATCCTTCTACCGCTGAGAAAAGCGAAGCCATGATAAAACGAGTGAATCCTTGTGCCGCTGACAAGAGCGAAGCCATGATAAAACGAAGAAGAATGCGAAGAAATTCATATGGTGACACGCCATATGAAATCATACACATTATACTCTTGAGACTATCCGTCAAGTCTGTGTTGCGATTCAGGTGCGTTAGTAAATCATGGCTTGATGCAATTTCCGATCCCCAATTCGCGAGATCACGTCTCAATGAATCAATTAAGTTTGACCGTCAAAGTATCATCCGCTGGGGCTACAACGGACGTAAGCACAAAAATTTCGACTCCATAGCCTATGACTGCAGTGATAATTCACAGCAAAAACTATGCTTTCCATTTAAGAAGTATAGGAAAGCTGCTGTATTGAGTTGTTCTTGTAATGGTTTAGTACTGTTGTTTCTGGACGACATATGTGTACTGTGGAATCCATCCACTGGAGCATACAAGAGGTTCTCACGTCCTCCTAAATATCACAATTATCCACCACGTGGATTTTGCTATGATTCTTTCCTGGATGATTACAAGGTGCTGTTTTTCCGTGCAAGAGATTTTGTGGTTTACAGTTTCAGAAGTCAATCCTGGACAGAGGCTAAGCACTTCCCTTATTTGGGTTATCGCAGTGGTTCTGGCGTTATTGTCAATGGAGTGTTACACATGGTTGCTTATAAAGACTTGATCAATAATAATGATAATAGAGAGTCGTCGACCTCTGCTAGAGTTGGACCTCCCTCTCCCGGTAGATTGGGCATGGTTGGAACCTCTGATCCACCAACTTTTATGTTCGGTGATTCCTACAAAGAACATCTCCTCGTTTCTTGCAATGCAAAACCCGTTACAAACCAATCTAAGAAGCAATATGGGTGTGTGATTGTTTACTTTGACACGGTGGATCACAAGTTCATGGAGATGCCATCACCAAATTGTATAAATGATGGAGATATGTTTGATTTGATGGTTTTGAAGGGATGCCTCAGTTTATATTTTAGTACCAGTGATATGAACTATTTTGAGGTGTGGACTATGGAGCAATATGGTGAGCATCATTCTTGGACCAAGTTAATTGTCATCCCACACTGGATACGTGAGAGACATATAAGTTCTTTGAAGCTATTGTGTGTTACCAAGGAAGGTAAAATTGTGATGATACTTGATGACAAAAAACTATTCATCTATAATCCTAAAAACAACACGTGCACTCCTCTTGGACAAACAGAGGTTGACGCTAGGCTACGGGCAGTTTCTATTGTGGATAGTTTGGTTTTTCCCATTCCAACACCTCAAGGAAAAGGAAAGAGTTAAAAACCTACAATTGTAAGGAAGTCCATCAAATAATTTCTATTTTTCTAGTTTGTAAGTTAATTCATGTCTTATGATTGTTATGTTTGATATTAGATATTGAAAGAAATATAAATTGTTCCTTTTGTATGGAAAAAAATGGCGTAATTGTTCTGTTTTGTTTTTGTTGTGTTAATTAATTACCATAATTAGAATGTATATTCCCAAACTTCATAATAATCAGCATCAAGGTACATAACAGTAACGCATTAGAGAATCGCACACTCTCAACGATTAATCATCATTGAAGCTCTCCACGAACTCAAAATATTCCGTTACAATTCTTTGTTCGACATAAGCAAGGCTACAAACATAATTGATGACAACTTGGATCCGCTACTGCCAACAATGAAACTGTAAGCTCCATCTGCCGTAGGTTGTGGACAACATGAAAGAATCATGCAAATTGATCTTGCAATTTTGCATAGAGCACTACCAGGAACAAGAACCGAATTTGAAGACGCCACAAATCTCAACAATAAGCAAAGTTTATCGTCACCATGTCTATTTCAGTATGACGCACCATAAAGCACCAAAGTTCCATAACAATCTCCCAGCAAAGGAAGTGAGGATGCAAGAAGTTTTCGAGCAAAAAGGATTCCATTTCACCCCAAGCTGGACTGGAATTGACTACAATCACTTACGTTTTCAGTGCATGCAGAATGTTAGAAAACATAGGCTCATAAGCTAATTCCGGGGTTTTATTAGAACCATATAATATAGGAACTCGCAAAGCAAGGACGGAAGAATACACCTCCTCGTCGATTAAAACATTAAAAAGCCATCTAAGCTTTCTAGTGATCCCTAGTATTACATCTTCTTCAAGATCAGCAGCACTTTTCAAAAAACTAAGAAATAAAGCAACCCGACCAAGCAATAATATTCTTGCTCCATGCATAGCATTACAATTAAAAGATAGATTGAAGTAGTCCTATAGTTACCATTCTGACCTCCAGGGATAATCATTAAATCACTCTCATCAATGAACAACCAGTCCAGAATTTGGAACTTGTGTTCCTGTTTCACTTGAGCTGAATTTAATAAAGAATTCAGTAAATGTAACGCTGTTGGCTCTAGAAGTTCTCCCAACAATTCACTAGCCGATTTCAGGAGTTCCCCTTCACTCACTCAGATTCTGAAAGTTGAGATCGTCAGGACACAGTGTTATTTTTGTTTTTTTAAATTTTATATTGTTCTTCTAATTAACACAATATATTTTAGATTGTATTAAATTTCATTTTTTTTTTTTAAATAATTACAAAATCAACATCCTGAAAGTGTCCAAAACGTATCATTGCCGTATCCATGTCGTGTCTCAACCGTGTCTGACCAGAAAATAAAATATTTACTATTCAGAATACTTCTAGCCGTATCCAATACGTGTCCGAGCCATATCCGCATATTATAAAAGTTTCCAAGTATCCGATACCGCCACGGCACTCTAACAGAAGTATCTGGGCTTCCTAGACTGCATCTACATATCTTTTATAAAGAAGCAGAGACCTAAGGCAGCTTTCTGACACACTCAAAAACATGTGAATGCACTCAATTATTGAAGTTTCACTATTAATTGTGAAGTCATCAGCAAATGCATTGTTCTTATTAATTGTTTCAATCTCTGGTTTAGTAAAGGCCTTCTTTAACCTTTATATTTGTTTTTAATTATTCTTTCGACCTTATCATACAAGGAACATCTCCAACACCGAAAGCAGGAAAATTATAATACAATGAACATCTCTGACACCGAAAAGGAGGAAATGAATACTTATTCTCAAGACAAACAACGATAACTGGAGGATAAATCATTCAAACGCTTAATAATTTAGGCTTTCGCTCTGCCTTTAATTACACATACCGCAAGCTGATTGTTCATTGTTGTAATTTGCTGCTACATGGTACCTCAATGAATCTCTCTCCATGACAAGTCTTTACACCCTAGGAACACACAAAATGACCAAGAAGAAAAGAAACACTTCCAATAAGAAACCCACATAGGTGGGACTAATAATGGGTGACGGACCTTTTTCTTTTCAACCCAAAAACATGCACATTTCCAAAAAGCACAGTACTACAACTTAAGAAGACTGCACATAAGCAAACGAACAATTCCAGTTGCACCCTTTAAATATAGAGCAAGTATATTGATGACCTGTGTAAGAAGGAAGAGAGCTTCAACAGTATCCTACAATGGTTCAGTTATATAGTAGCCAACGTACAGACTAAACTTTGTAAAAGTTTATGTAACAAGACCTCGTTACCGACAGTTGAACTTATCGCAAGCAGGACTTTAAAGCACAGGATCATTGGAAAAAGGAGTACCAAAATGTAAAACACTATAGCATGATCCATCAATGGTGCCAGAACTCCTTGTTGCAGCTTCCCGGGCTATAGTGGGTATCACGGTGCCACCAGAATCACCATAAAGTATAAACAAACTAATTGTATCTTTCATATTTAGCATACCAGTCTCAGCTTTCAGCTACTAAGGTCATCCTTTGGATTTTGGCCTAGCGTATCCCAGATTGATTAGTTTTTCCACCAGCTTTTTCTCGGCATCCGCCTGAAAACCACCATAAGGAAAAAAGAGGCCAGACAATGTATTACAGCCAGGAACAAGAACATCCAACACGCTAAATTATGCATGCACCCAAACAAGTCTGATTGATGAAATCCACAATATCAAGGCAGTTTGTTAATAGCTAAACATCACAAAATATGGAATAAATAGAACTTACGAAAAAAAATATTTATGTAAATGTATATTGTTCATTTACGCATTGAGAGAGATAGATTAAACCTCAAGTATGGTGCTGTTTTTTGGAATGTTGCAAGCCAATATGACATTTAGACCAGTCTTCAAAACTGTGAGGACAGTTGCATGTCAGCCCATGGGCCCAAATAACATATTGTGATAGTAATTAATGCATATCACAATTCACCTAATCAACGAGCAATGCCAGATCCTGTATTATCAGAAGCTCCCCCAATTATGGAAGTAACACTAACTGTGTTTTTCTGTGCATAACCATTAAACTATAAGATGATGATGACTAATAAAATAACAATGACAGATGATTTCAACATTTGTAAGCAAGTACGGCAAGATTATCAACACATGGAGTTATTTATAATTCCCTCTCTAAATTATCAAAATTGAACTTTAGATATTGAATCTTTTGCTGAAATAATAGAAAATCTTATCCCAAAGAATCAACAATGAATGGCAGAAAAAATAGGAAGACCGGCATGATGTAGAAATTGTCAACTTACAGGTCTTGCCGGCAGAGCTGCATATAAATTTCCGAATTTGGCTGAGTTGCAACCGATCCATGCATATATCTACAAAAACAGCATAGTAAATAGAACCACCAGAGAGAAGAAAGCTAAAGAACGGACTAGAAAGTCCTTTTTTTAATCTGTG